ATAATCATAAATATATTATTCATTAATATTATAAAGATAACTGATATATTGGTAAGATCAAAAGATAGAATCAAGAACTTATAGTATCTATAATAAGTTCTAAATACTATTTTATATATGTTTTCTTTTGCTATATAAATTTGATAATATTGAAAATATAAATCTAATTTAGAAAAATATTTTAAGTTTAAAGTCTATTCATAAACTCATCAACTCTAGATAAAGAATAGTAATTCTTAATTATAATTTTATTTAAGATTTTATAGTTAATATATAATCTTAATATATCTTTTTTCTTATATACAAAAAGAACTAATATTCTAAAGAATAAAATGCTTAGATGAATAAAATCTTTTTAAATATAATATCTGTCAAAAGTATTTTTTTTCACCCTAAATTAATGAGAAGATAAGATAATGAAAAATCTTTTTTTTATTTAAAAGCTCTGATTTCATATAATAAGATTAATACATGATATAATTACTCTCAGCCTCAATTAAAGCTTCTACATACTTTTTTACACTTAAGACTAATTAGATCACATATTTTTTGTAATTTTCTCTTCAAACTCTTAATAATTCTAATTTTTTTTTTGCCAAATTATTTTTCATGAGCTCTCAAATATTTTTAATTAGATTTTGATCAGGAGATATTAATGATCATGAGAGAATCTTTATATCTATTTTCTTCTTTCACATCTTCACAATTTTTAAATAATGCTTGAAATCATTATCTTTTTAAAAAATCTACTGATCATTTTCCTGACCAAAAAGTTTATCAGCAGATGACAGAAGATTTATTTCATATATATTTAATAGGAAATTGGTATTGAGATTTCTCACAAAACAAATTAGCTTGTCAAAGTCTATAGATAAAAAACATTTTTATATATAGATCTTTAGAGAATGCTTTACAAAATAACTTATTTTTTTTCTTCCAGAAAATTGTCAAGTTTATTTTATATCTTGATTTAGATAAAAGCTACTTTTATCTGAAAAAATCATCTTATCCTAGTCAAAGTTCCTATATTTTTTCACCTATTTCAGCTATTTTTATCAATATTTCTTTGTGAAAAGAAATTTTGAAAGCTTATTCATATATTTGCCTTCTCTTCATGAAGATAATATTATACAATATATATACTAATATTAATATTCTGCTTAATTATCTCTTTTTAAATTTCTGGAACTATTATATCAATTTTTTTTGCAAGCTCTATTATCTGCTTATCTTGTCATTAGATGATTACTTTTTATTGGTCTATCTTTAATTTGTCACTCAAGTCTTGATTTTCTTCTCATCTTTGAATCTAATAATGGACAGTTTTTTCATTATAGCAAACTATTTTAGCTATCTCATATATTAATAGCTTGGGATCTTTTAGGTGAATGCACAAAAAGATAATTTCATATTGTTAACTTAAATTTAAAGGTATTTTTTTAGTCTTTTTTCAAGTATAATAGAGCTTTTGTTTTTTATTAATGTATAATTTTCTAAAATACAGGTATAATTTATATTTGGACTATACTATATACATGCAAAATTATAGTATCATGTATGTGATTATTTGAAAATTATAGGGGAGAGAATACTTTTAATAAGTATTATAAGATCAGCTAATTATTTCTTGAGCTCATCTATTTCTATAAAAAAAAGTTTATAGATAGATTTGAATAATAATTCAGATTCTGAGATAAAATTAATTTTGTGATCTATAACTCTTTTAGATAATAATTAATTTGATAATATTTCTAAAAATATATCTTTATATTTCTTCTTAATTTTTAATACTTCAGATAACAATTATTTTTCTTTAATCTCTTCTTTATTTTTAATATTATTGAGATATATAGTAAAGAGATTTATATCTGCTGGTAGATTAGTGATTTGCTATCTTGAAATATAGATTGAATTATAACTTGAACCTGATTTTATTTTATTATCAGCTTGAATTTTGATTATCTTTAAATCATAACTAAAGATTATGATATTATTTTTCTAATCTATAGTTAGATTGATATGAAATAATCAAGCTTTATCTAAGATAAGATTATATCTTTACAGTTTCAATACTTGTATATTTATCTTATATATTCTATAAATATCTAATTTTAGCTTATTAATTTTTATCATGATAATAATAGTAATTTTTTTATTATTGGCAAGTTTTACTATAACTAATATAATTTTTTGCAATTTAATCTTATTTTTTTATATAAATTTCTTATCAATAAAGTTCTTAGATATATTATTATCTAGTAAAATTCATATTAATTTGCTATTTACTTAATTATTAAACTTTAATAATCTCTTATAGTTACTCTTTTATATAATTATAAAGATTTTTCTTACTTATCTTTTATATTTATAATCTTGATCTTTAATTTTAAATAATAATTCTTAATAAAATAATCTAATTTACTATAGTTATAACATATATCTTTTAATTTATTATTTTTTGATTATTATTACTCTTTCTATTATTATAATAACTTTCTGCTTGATCTAGTTTTATTAATATAAAATTATTATTTTAATAATTTTTATATTAATTCTGAGAGTAATAATTATTATTATTATATTTGCTTAATAAATTTAAAGATTTATCTTGTTTATATATTACTATATTATATCTAATTACTAATTTTCAAGCTTTTTTTAAGATTTTTAATATCTAATAATTGACTTCTATTTTTATAATAAATTTCAAATCTTTTATGAAATAAGTGACTTGATCGATTATATTTCTGAATTTTATATTATAATCTTGTATTAATGAAAAAAATGAAGTTATTTACAAAGATATTATTAATAATATAATAATTAAAAAGCTTCTTTAAATATTATAATAAAAACTTATTAATTTTTAAAAAATAAGATATTATTATCTATCTTAACTTTATTAAGATATCAATATAAAGTTATATTAGTTAAGAATATGATAATATATTATATTTAAATTTTCTCATCTGTAATTTCTTGAATTTGAAATATGATTTTAATTTACATAATTCAAATAAGTATATTTTCAGTTAATTCTCCTAAGTAAATTAGAATTTTAATTAAAAGATAAGATAAAGGCTTAGAATTAGAGAAATTATATTTTTTTACTATCTTTAATAAATTCAGTCATATTCTATATAAATTGTTAAAATTATTTTAAGTTCATCTTTATTAAAATTTAATAATTTAAAACTAAAATATATATATAAAATATATATTATATGTGATATATAAAATATAAGATATTAGAAAGTAATTTTTATAATAACTATATTTATTATTATTAAGTTGTAAGATTATTTTGTTAATAGTTATAAATAAGATAAAATATAATATGAATAGTTTTAATTTTATAACTTATAATTATTTTTATTATTTAAAAATATTCAGATCTAAAATTAAAATTATAGAACAGAAGATATATATTTATAAAAAATAAAATGAATATAAAATATAAATAATTAATAATTTTAATAAAAGTACATATAATTGAATAGAATTAATTATCTTAATTCACATTTTTAGAAAGCTACTAATTATAATTTAATAAATAATAATAATTATAAATATGATAAATTAAATTTAAATAATAATAAATGAAGAACAAGTAAAAATAATAAGAAAATATTAATAATTTAAATTAATAATATAGATATATATAATAATTATTTGTATAATAATATATTAAATCTAATATATTAAATATATAAATAATTATTTGTATATTCAGAATAAAATTGATTTTATAAAAGTAATATAAAAATTAATTTATTATACAAATAGAAATCTAAGCTAAAGAAAGATAATCTAATTAAAAATTATTATAATTCAAAATTAAGTTATTTAAATTATATACAGTGTGATCCATAAGTATTTGGAATTAAAAAATTACTCATTACACCACAACCAATGACTTAAATCACATGAAATTTATGTATTTCAAAGATTAAGACCAGCTAATTTATTATATTATTTTTAATATGATATACGCTTGCCATTGCTTTCTATAACAAGCTCACAATGATATCTCATAGACCTAATTAAATTAATTAGAGTAGACTCAGGAATATCCACCTATTCATTTATCATATAACAACACAGTTTATCTAAATTTTTTGGCATACGCTTTTCCACATTGTTCTTAACAATATACTAGAGATTTTCGATAGGATTCAAATTAGGACTGTTAGATAGCCAGTCCAAAACTTTAGATATGGTTTCTTCAAGAAATACTTTGGCAAGATGGCTTGTGTATTTTGAATTGTTATCCTGCTGAAACTGCCATTCATCTTCCATCAATTGCTCAATTTCTGAAGTATGCTCACGAAGGATATTAACGTAAAATTTGGCATTCATAATTTCAGAAAAACAAAATAAACTACTTTTACCATTTATACAAAATCCTCCCCACATGAAAATTTTTCTTTGATCCTTGGGTATATGTCATATTGGCCATGCTCTCTTGTATCAGTACTCTATCATATTCTGAAAGAGTTTAAAAGCTATTTCATCTGAAAAAAGTATTATCCCAATTATCATCAAGATATTCATGAGCCCATGCCACACATTTATATTTATAAGCATCAGTAAGCATCAGTATTCCTAGTAGGAATGCTTTTTTATATCTGAGAGTAGTCAAATGTCTTCTAACCATTTGTTGAGATATGTTTATATCGATTTTTGATAATTTTATCACCAGAGTTCTCGTTAAAATAGATGAATCTCTTTATATATATTAACCCAATATCTTTAATGCTCATGCAATTATCTTCTTGAGTTTACCTTTACTTCCAGCATATTTATTTGTATTATATTTTTTGAGTTTATTAATATTGTCATATATTATTGAAAGGGATATGTTGATTATGGTATGAATTTCTTTGACATCTCGAATACCCTGATTTCATAATTGTAAAATGAATTGACAGTTGATTTCTTGCTTGAAAGTCATAATTATACCAAAGTAAAAAAGAAAAAAAAATAAAAGAAATGATATCATGAAGAAGTTTCACAAACAACCTACTTATGACAATTCTTTTCCATTTTAAATTGTGAAAATCAGCCTTAATTTGGCAAAGATATGCATATTTTTTTTCTGCAAAAAATTTTCCAGATATTATGGATCACACTATATAATAAATAATTTAATAAAAATTTATAAAAAAATTATTTATTATAAATTTTATATTAAAAATATATTAATATATTATAAATTTTAAAATACTTATTTCAAACTTAATATTTTAATAAATATAATTAAATCTTTTTATAGTTATATCTTTTTATAATTATATCTTTCTTTAATTATATAATTTTACTTTTTTAAATATAATAATTATAAAGAGATTTGACTATATTTAAATTTATATATTTAAAAATAATAAATATTAATTTTATAAAATTTAAAAAGTTTATATATTTTATATTATAAAATTTATTATAATTACTTGATAATTAAACTAATTTTATTCAAAAATTTAAAGATTAATTTTAATTATAATATATAATTATAATATACAGTGACCATCAAAAGTAATACTATGCTTAAATTTTTTACTAATTATAATTAGTAAAAAATTTAAGCATTATATTACTTTTGATGGTCACTATATTATATTAAAATATATTATATCTTTACTTATAATAAATTAAATAATATTATTTTAATTAATTTTAATTATTAAATTTTAAAATATTATACTATATATTTTTAGTATAATAATTTTAAAAAAGATTAATTATATTTTATATAAATTATAATTATAATAATATAAATAAAATTTATTTTTTATATCTTTTTATAAATTAAAAATATAATACTTATAATAAAATTTTATATTATTATTTTAATTTTTTATATATAATAAAATAATTAATTAATATAAATAAATTTTTCTTTATATTTATTTAATAAAGATTTTAAATAACTTTATTTATATATTAAATATAATAATAAAATAATAAAGTAATAAACATTAAAATAATTATTATTATATTTCAAAGTTATATAATTAAATATTTTATTAATTAATAATTGAAAAACATAAAATAAATATAATTATAAAAAATATAAAAATAAAGAAATATAATTATAAAATATTCTAATTATATTAGAATAATATTATTAATATACTTTTTAATTATTAAATAAAAATTATATAAGTAAATAAAAAAGAATTAATATAAAAAAATTATCAAGATACTAAATTATAAAAGCAATAAATATTTAAAATTCTATATTTATATTTATTAATATAGCAAAAAAACTATGAAATATTATTAAAGAAAAAAATAAATTAATAAAGAAATAAAGAATAAAATTAATTTATATAAAGAAAATAAATTAAATAAAAGAAATAAATCAAATTAATATGTATTTTAATAAGAAAATAGTAAAAAAATATATAATATAAAAGTTATCATATTTATAGAATTATATTCTAGTACTTTTAATATTATCGTGAAATAAATATAATAAAAAAAGTTCTTAAAATTATTATATTATAATTAAAAAATCAAAAAAATTATAATATTAAAATAAATTAAAATACAATTCAAATATAATTAATTATTTAGATAAGATAACTAAAATATATTTTATTATTAAATTCTTCTTCAACTTTACTTTTATATGATAAGAGATTATCTATTTATATATTTTTATTAATATATAATAATAATTAAAAATAGAAAAAAATGATTCTGAATAATAATGAATATAAGAACTTAACTTTTTTTACTAAATAAAAAGAATAAAAAAATAAAAGAATCAAAAAGATTAAATTTAGACTTAAAAGAATAAAATAGAAGATTAATTATGTACAGAAAAAGTAATTAACTAAAATTAGAAATTAAGAAAATGATTTACAAAATTACACAAGAGCTATGAAATTAAAAATGATCTATAAAATTAACATGATCTGTGAAATTAAGAAATTAAATACTGTTTTATAACAATAGAGCTCCAATACCTTATTGATAATGTGGAAGTGATTATTCTTTGGATTTTGGGTTGAGATGTGGGAAATGTACTTATTGAATTTTTGGTAAGACTTTCTTGATAACGAGGTTTGAGGTAGGTGGTATAGTAATATTGGCTTTCGAATTAAAAGAATCAGAGGCTTGGAGATCACAAAATCGAGCAAATCGGTTACATCTATTAAATCCTGAGACCAGACCATTATTAATCCGGTTTCAGACCATGTTCTAACGCTAATGGTTCGAACGAACCATTTATACTGATCATATTGTGGTTTATATTTTTTGCTTAGCAGTTTATCTTTTGGACGATTGATATAATCAATTCTCCTAAATGTAATTCCGTAAATTTAAATTTTGTCCCATTGAGGGTGCACGATATACCATGTAACATCAAATTATGTATATGTGGATACCTTATTTTTAATATATAAAACTGAGTTATACTTTTTTTAGATGAACAGGCCGCATAGTTTGTTTTTGCCAAAATTTTTAATACCAATCGATTTTACTTACAATATTTATAAAATCACGAAATTTTTTTATCACTTATAGGATCTTCCTAATCTTTTTTTATGTACAATTATTACTTGACTCACTCGGATAAATCTTTATATCAATTGGCAATTTTTTTCAATTTAAATGTAAATTTGGCTTCATAACTTTTGTTCTTTGTAATTTAATATTAATCTGTAGAAAAATTGGTTTTAAAGGCTTTAAAGATTCGAACTTGTATTTGAGGATTGTTATTTTATTATTGGTGTGTAGTAGCACAAAAATTCTTGAAAGAATCATACAATCGCACCTCGTTATAATCACTGGGTTGGGAAAAACAAGAATCAAGTGACTATAACGAGGATGTGACTATAAAGAAGGTATGTTTTATTAATAAATGGTGGTTACTAGATGCGTCACTATGACTACATGTATATTGAGTGTGATTACAGCATGTTATTCATATGGTCCCGACAAATTGTATTTAGAATTAACAGCCATAGTTTTTGAATTTTACATATAGAAAAGTCGATTTTTTTACAATTTAATACGTCATTTTTGACGTTATCAAAACGTGCATCTGAATGTCAAATACATGCATTTTCTAATTTTCACCCAGTTTTCCTATTTTTCCTATTGGTCATCGTTCAGCACCAATACATACATGTAACTATTTTCTAATTTTTCACCCAGGGTTTTCTATTCTTCCGACATAAAAAAATGAAAAAAATACAGGAAACAGACACTTGAAATACTAATTAAAAAAGCGAGAAGGCAATTTTAGTCTTGATCTCAACTCTAACCTTCTTCCTTAAAATCGATCACAGTAGAATTTTCTGACTTTCTGAGATCGAGAAAATTAGTAAATGCGCCAAATAACATGTATTAATAAAGCATAATTTAAGTCTTGATGATAGAAATTATTACATCATATTCTTGTGCTTATTTTGATTGAGGCTAAATTTCAACTGCCATACTCACGCCAAGCTAAGATTATTGCATAACGATAAAATGCCGTCATTCATTTATTTTACTTGAATTTATCTTACTTGAAAAATGTTCGATTACGAAATCGCTTTTAACAAACATATATAAAGAGGCATTCAAAAACTGACAAACCCTAAAATCAAAAATACTCTTTAATTCATACATACACCCACAACACACTTTCCAAATGGCCCCGAAGGTTTGATATTCCTCTTTTTTTAATTTTCTTATTTTACGCGCGTTATATCATTAAAAGATTATTATTTGTATTACACCAAAAGATTATTGTCACCGCAGTCGACGGCTGGACTGGTTACGAAATTGTCAAACACATCACCACTCCAGATCTCGTCAATAAATTCGGCGAAATCTACGCGACTTCCGAGGGTCCCGAGACTATAGCCGATGTGGCTGAATTAAAGCAAAAAAAAGAAGTGACCTTCTTAGAGGTAAATAAAACGAAGACATTTGTTTCGAATTTTTTGATTCATTATTATATATCATATATAGATCGATTCTTCGAAAAATCTCAGCAAAATGGAGGAAGTCTTCAAGAAAGGTATCGTTTTTCAATCTGTTGAGTCATGTCATTACAAATTCTCTACTAATTAACAAAATATTCAAAATAGCCGAGATCGCTGTCCTCATTCCACCAGCTAAAACGGACAAGGTAAAAAAATTTAACTAGTTTACTTTTGGTTAACTTATTTCTATTCATCGAAAAAACCTTTCGTACAAAAACGTATAGCTCCAACGTTCTAAGAACTTGATCGAAGCCTGCAAAACTGCTGGTCTAAAAAAAGTCGTCCTGATCTCGATGGCAGCCGCCGATGTTGCTGATAAACAGAAACAACCTCATATTGCTGAATTCCAACAGATCGAGCACGAAGCAAAGCAAGCCGGATTCGATCATTTGACTATTATAAGGTATACTTTTTATACTTTACGAGTACGCCTCGATTTTTTCACCATTATTCATTATTACTTTTATACATAATATTTAGAGTCAACTTCTACACTGAAAATCTCCTCCTTTATAAAGAACAAATGCATAAAGGAAAACTCCCCCTTCCAATTCATGACGGTAAATTTGCTCCGGTTGCAATCAAAGATGTTGCGGAAGGTGTTGGTGCCCTGCTCTCGGATTGCGAGAAATTTCATAAATCTAACGAAGAATGTTGTATTACTCTCACCGGTAACTGGTTCAAATTTACGATAATCTCTTTTAATATTATATTTTATTTATGCGTTGATTTGAAATTCAGGCGATAAAGCTTTGGGTGGTTCGGAAATAGCATCCTGCATCAGTAAATGTACCGGTTGTAAGCTCGAATTCGACAATATTTCTAACGAAGAAGCACAAAAGATTCTAGCCAATGTCAAGGTGAATAAAAATACACTATCTTTGTCCTTTTGTTCATCCGAAATAACATCCAATTCACCAAATATAACAGGGCCTCGATGAAAGTGAACAACATGTTCTTGTCGAATTCTACGACTTGGTTAAAGCTAATAATGCCGCGTTCGTTACTGATAGCTTTAAAAATCTAGTTAGTCACGATCCTACTTCACTCGAGGAATTCTGCAAACTCCACGAAAGTGAACTCAAGTCTAAATAACTACACTCAAAGTCTAAATAGCTACTTTCAAGTCTAACTTCATATTTTATGAATGTAATCTAAATATCATACTAAATTGTATCTGAATTGACTTTGTCAAATCAATAAACTGCTAAATGTTATAATACTCTAATTGCTTAGAGAATTAGAGACGCGAGATATAAAGTAAATAAATATGGCATTAAATTGCACGTATATATTCTTTGATTCAAACTTTTTTATTTGATATGCATTCTCTTTCATTTGAAAAGATTACATGTACAGTATAGTGTTCCAGATTGACTAACGGTTTTATTGCATACATTCGAAAAGCCTTGTTGCGTCCAAAGTGTATAAATCTTCATCTATTTTAAATCCAATGCTGTATATTAATGCCGCTATTCACATTTGAAATGGCTTTTTGAATTCTTCGTTACTTTCGAAATAAACATAAGACAATATAAAAAGAATACACATGACTTCAAAATTTGCCTTTTCGATCCGATTTTTACATGGTCTTTTCTCTCATTATCACAGAAAGACACTTCCGCTGAGTAACACCCAGGTTGCCTTTCAGTAGGATTGTTAATGGAGAGCTCCATTAACAATCCTATCTTTCTGCTTAATAATAAATTAGCGCACGAACAAGCTTATCTCTACCATTTGAAGTGATAGTGAGCCTTTTCGAGTATCACGATTATTTCTATTAGCTTCTCAGAAGGCAAAAATTCGTTAGTCCATGTCCTTGGTCTTTGTGGTGTCTGAGTAATTTGAAAATGGGCTATTAACAAGAAAAAGTGTAAAGAAACTCGTATTATTTAACAAGAAACATTGATGTGTAACAATGTTTATAAAAATAAGCAACTAAACGAAAACGCTGCTGACAAAAACCACAATTAGACAATAGCAATAATAACGTTAATGATAATAACAGTAGGGATATGGCAATAGCGACAATGATATTAAATAGTAACAAGGGAACGCACAACGACGCTGCTGTAAACAAGAGTAATGTGATCTAACAACGGAAACAGCAAATAATAGTAATGATTACAAACTTGTCATTGTCGAAAATTAGGAACGGTGTGTGCACCAGGAGGGAACCGAGCCAAGAGGAAAGAATAACAGCTACCCAACTCCAATGACGATTCGAGGATTTGAAAAAGTGAATAGAGAGCTCTAAAAAGAGCCTGAAAAATCGAAAAATAATAAAGGAGCAACGAGAAGAACGATTCACTGCTAAAAACTACTGGACATTCTACTGGTCCAAAATTAGTTGGAAAGAGAAACAACAAAGTCTCACGGACCGGACTTGCGGGGTCGTAATATATACGAAAGTATAGCATCACAAATTCAAAAATTATCACAATTTCGGGATTTCGTATATTCGGGGTGTCGTTCATTCGGGCTTTCGCTTGTCGGGCATATGAACGTTCTGGATTGTGTTCGTTCGGGATTTCTTCCAGACTCAAATAAAAAAAGCGTAATTATCTAAAAAAATTATTTATTCATATAGTGTATACAACTAACTAAAATTTAAGTTGTTACACCTCACATAAGTGATAATGCTAGTCTTAGAATCTCTATAATTAAAAAATGTTTATTGATTAATTTTTAATTAAAATTTTTTTTGGGTGGCTGGGAATCACGAAATCCCGAACGTCCATAAGCCCGAAAGATCGAAATCCCATCCCAAAAATGCGTGAAATACTAAAATTATCACGGGATTTCGTTTATTCGGGATGTCGTTCATTCGGAATTTCGATCTTTCGGGATGTCGTTCATTTGGGATTTCGATCTTTCGGGCTTATGAACGTTCGGGATTTCGACGGTTACCGGGGGACTAAGTTGTATGGATTGTACCTCACTAGAATCGAGCAACCAATCCAATTTTAGAAGCATAATTATATTTTAATGTTGTCAAATGTGACGATGGGTTCCGTTGCCATGAGGTGTTCGTCACTCAAGCATGAGGGTCGAATGTGGACAAGCACAAAAAATATCGCAATAATGAGATATCGAAAAATATGAATAGTTGAATTATTTTAATAAAAGTATTCACCTCTTCGATGTTTGTTCGTTGTCGACTAGTGATTCGCGCGAAAGCGAAAGGTTTTGTCAAATATACTCAGTAATACATTTAGTAAACCTTTTTACGGTTTCTCTTACAAAGAAAATTACTGTTTCCAACTCAGACTCATTTTGTCTTTTTAAACTTTTTTTTACTAGTGTTGCTTGTTTTAGTGTGAACTTATTCTGTTAAATATCAAAAATACATGTACTTATGTTTTGAATTTCTCTTGAAACGCATTCATTCCACAAAAAGAAAAATGCATACCGTTACTGATTATCTAATGCATAAAAATATCTGGTTCGCGCGCAATACTGTATTTCAAAAATCTTGAGAAAATATGCGAGCGTGCACGAACCAGTTTATTAATATAAATATTTAATTAAAATTTTAGCTTCACATGTATTCTGGTTAAATTTTCTGTATGATTCTTTATTTTGAATTCCACAATATAAACTCGATATATACATGTATTCAATGAGAGATACCAAAATGCTAAATTAATGAGTAAAAAAATAAAAAATTAGAATATCCACCGCCAATCTTTTCTTATTTATTATTTTGACTGAATGGCAAATACGGAATATATTGGTCTAATTTCGATTGAACAGACTTGGGGAGATATTCTTCTATTTTCGTGATATTTGTTTGAACGGTGTCTTGAACGACTGGCGGGACATATGATGTAGCCCACGATGCCAAGCTTCCTATATATGATGATTGTCGTCGAGAAGGAGAAGGTGGACGAATAGCTTTTTTTGGTTTTGTTGGCGTGACTGGTATCGGTTTTGTTGTTAGTACGGATGTTGATGAAGATTTTGTAATTGTTTTGGAGGTCTTTTTAGGTATTGTTATTTTGGTGACATGAATTGGTTCTTTTCTGTTTGTAAAAGATATTTTTAAGCATTAATTTAGAAACCAAAAATGTCCGAATCAAAATAATTAGAATTTACCTTTTTGTATGAGTTTCTGTAGTTGGTTTAATTGGCAATGGCTCTTCGGTAAATTGAGGGATATCTGTGATGGTTGGTTTAATTGGCAATGGCTCTTCGGTAAATTGCGGGATATCTGTGATAATTGCTATTTTAAAAATGAAGCAAATGTCAATTAAAAAACTTTATTTAATGCCAGAGTCAAGTTTTTAAGATTCAAATTCTGAAGTTTACATTTGGTTTCAGCCACTTTTTTCTCGTTCTTGAGTGACGGTGAAAATTCTTTGTGCTTCTCCTCCTCATTTTCTTTCACTTCATTACTATTATCATCATCCAATTCAATCATCGAGATCAATCCAACATCATCGCCACATTTTGTTCCTTCCGAAGAAGCCTCAACATGTGCTTTAAACACAATTTCATCAGTTTTCGTCACCTTAATCAACGGAAAAGAACAAATCTCGATTGACTCGTCATCGTCAATCCAAGTCAAATCCATTATGGACTCGTTGACAGGCGTTCGTTTTGGCAGCCATTCGATATGCAATGTAGGATGTTGCGCGATAAGCTTAAAGAATAATGTGGAAATACATTGTCGTATTGTTTGTTCATCCTGTTTTTTCAATAAAGCTCGTTGTTTGCGGGATGGCACTGTGCGGATTTGTTCTAATCCTTCAAGAATTTCCGTGCATATCGAATCGATAACCAACGAATCGGATGTTTCAAAAGTACGAGAACCGAGTAAATTGAAGATCAATTGTCGTAATTGTATTTTCGAGTCTTCCGATAGGATTTTTGCGTCGGGATTCGTTTTCGAGAATATGGTAAATTGTTCGGCCAGCGCTTCCATTGTAGTTATTATTTGTCGATCTATCGCGTTTTCCTTATTCGAGCTGTCTTCGTATGTTGACTTCTGGTGGAGTATTTGTGCACTCCAGTCAATTTCTGAATTATCGTTATCGTTCGGGCGAACAGAATTGTCGAAATAAGCGTTCATTCGATTTAACACCGTCTCGATTATACGACGTTGTAAAGCTGCACTAATTAGGTTTCTGGGTAAATGTTCGCCTGGGTAATATTTCACGTCGTACTGATCAAGTAATTGCTTTGCTGCTTCTTCGTTGATGATGAAATTACTAGCTTGCAGTGAGGTTGTCTTACGTAATGCAATAGTCAAATGCTCTAAATCGATTTTAAGCTGTTCTAGGTCGCAAAATTTGTTCTTATTTTCGGCGTCCCTTCGTAGTTGTTCGGATTTTCTACGAGACTTGTTATAATCCGCAATGAATTTCTGCAGCTCTTTAACTTGTGTTCGTAGCAACTCGTTTTCTACCGTAAGTTTTCGATGTGTACTACCATCGCAAAAATTTTGACACACTTCTTCCCACTCCACTTTCAATTCCTCAATCGTTTTCAGGTTCTGTATTAGATCTTGCGCGGCCTTGTCGTTCGCATTCTGCAAGTGAACCACCCAACGATCGAGACGAGCGACTTCACGTTTTAATTTGTTGTTTGCGATGAATGTTTCTTGATATAATAATCGTTCGGAGTCGTGAATTCGTTTTGCTTCTTCGGCTTTGTTTTTCCAGAAGTCGAGTTCTATGTCTTGTTGTAGAAGAAATTGTTCTTGTTCCTGTTCCTGGTATACGTAGCTTCTCTTTTCGTCGTTGTCATCTGGTGATATTACTGTCGGTTTAGTTGTTGATTTACTTTTCGTTGTGGAATTTTCGCGCTTCTTTTTTGAATCACTACGAAACAGATTTACCATGCTTGATTTTTCCTTCTGTTTCTTTTATTCTATTTCTCTATAATCTAATAACCGTTTCTTTATTTTACTTTTCTATAATACAATTGTTTTTCTATTCTATTTCTCTATAATTATAAATAATACTAGTAACTGAAAGGATAGCAATAATTAATAGTAATTGTTATATAA